GAGTAGCAATGATTTCTTCACCCTGGCCGTGATGTAGTATCAATAGAATTTGGACAAGTTGTTTGATTGATTGACTGACTGACTGATTGATTGATTTCTCACTTTTCTCTCGGAAACTCTTATCATTCCCTCAGTATGGCCAGCTCCACCCCCGAAAAAAAATGGCGTTTCTGAACTCTGAACGTACAGTAGTCCTTTCTTGGCGTTAAGAATTGCTTTCGTTATGGGTCCGCCGTGTAGATTTGTATATGCGACTTGCTATCCTTGGCTGCATCTTCGTTCTGTCCTGCCTCCATATCACAACCTGTGTCTGGTCTCTGGGTGTCTGTGAATTTCGTTGTATGGTATACTGTGTATATACTTACAATGACAATAAATTTTATTATTATTATTATTATTATTATTATTATTATTATTATTATTATTATTATTATTATTATTATTATTATTATTATTATTATTATTATTATTATTATTATTATTATTATTATTATTATTATTATTATTATTATTATTATTATTATTATTATTATTATTATTATTATTATTATTATTATTAAGTATAAACCAATGGAGCTGTGGGACATATTCTTCCATTTTACTAGACTTCTAGGCTTTCCCACCGACTATATCATTGTTTATCTGGGGTTGAATGTACTCATTCATGACCTATGAATGGTTCCTAAGGAGGACCATTTAGAGCTCTATCTGTCATCTCCAAGGACTGTAAACGACAAGTTGACTGACTATGAACATGACCTGCTTCTTGCATTCCCATTAATTTCGGTATTCTCTTCTGTCCACCACTGGATGAACGTCTGTCTACTGAGGCTGCCTCCATGAGTCTGAAGAAGTGGGCTCTTAGGCCAAGTAAAACTCACCAGTTTTAAAGGTGGCACCAGACTTGGTTATTTTGGTGTGTCCAAGTTCTTGCACAATTAAGGGGAAAGCAATTATGATGGTTAAAAGTTTATTTCATTATCCCCTCTCCATGAGCAGCGAAAGCATTATTGTCCAAAATTATTATTTTTATCCTGGAGCAATATTTTAATGGACTAAATACAAGAGGATTGCTATTCATCACACCCACTCAAGCTGAAAAGCAGGGTGAAAATAACCAGAAAATTCATAGAAGTCATGTGACTGCCTCTTCCAGTCTGTCCTATATGTGTAGGTTATGTGTTGTCAAGTCAAAACCAACTTAAAGCAGCCCTAACAGGGCTTTAAAGACACTGTAAATGAATATTGGAGGAGTGGCTTTGTCAGTTCCACCCCCACCACCCCCTACTGCCCCAAGTTTTCATGGTGGAGAGGGATTAAAATCCAGGGCTCCTGAGTCGCAGTCCATTACTTTTATCCATAACACTACACTGTGTATCCAAATTGGTCCAGTGCTCTTCACTAAAGAACATACTAACTTTTAATTTCTTTTGGTTTCCAAGAATCTATAACATTTAAGAGTACCGTCAGATTCTGCAATCACAGAATTTATTGTTTATTTATTTGTTATTTAGTGCCTTTATATGCCACCTTTTCATCAAGACACTGCATTTCATCTATAAGGAAAGGAAATATTACACAGAATAGGACAGCTTTTCAAAAGGACAAGCATGTTAGTCTGTTTCAGCATGTGTAGAAAAAATTAAAAACAGAAATCTCGTGGCACCTTAAAGACTAATAGATGGCCTTCTCCTCATGGGTGCATATTACCTGTTATGCAATGAAGGATAACTCGGAAACATTAAATATCACTGTAAAAAATCAAAAAGTGTATTACTTCAGGAGAAAAAGTCTCATTTTAATCAGAGTTCTCAAAAGAATGGTATAATTATATTAAACCTAGTAGAAATTTACTAAACTCTGCAATTGAAGTAGTATATCTTGATAAATTTTAATAATATAACCCTAACATTTTACAAGATGATGTATTGAATGACTGCATGGTGAGGTTAGGATTTTGCCAATTTACCATCTTCCAGTCCATTATGACCTCCAGGTGTTGTACCCTAAAGTTTGTGTAAATATATAGAGTCACAGCACACAAAAAATCAAATTTTTTTAGAGACAAATTAAAAAGAAGTGTAGTCTGTGCTGATTCAGACAGCCTTAGAGCTACACCACTTTCATCTGTACAATATCACCATTATGCTTTATTTTAATGATTAAAAACAAATTTTCCAGTCACTGTCTGGATAGCAATGTGGTGAGATTATCTGTTATACATCCACGATGCTATTTCATTTTTTTAAAGCTGTGTTAATTAAAATATCAATTAAAATGAAAGGGTAAGAAAAGGCCACCATAAAGTTACAGTGGCCGCACAAGTAAATTTCACCATCACCCTCCACAGTAGCTATGTCACACACCCAGTCACTTGGGTGGAAAGTGAATGATTCACTTTCAGATTTTGATGGCCTTAAATTTTGGTGTCCTTGGGGAAAGCCCTAGTTGCTCCCCACTAATTATTGCTCTGGATCATGCCTGTGGATTCAAACTCAACCAGTAGCCTAATGAACATTGGCAAAGCAGAAAGTCCCACCAAAATAATATAGGATCATGGCTCTTAAACAAACATTGCCATTCCTCCATGAAGAAAATTTACTCTGCTTGCCAATGGCAACTTTGGTGATTCTACAGATTCTACCTTATTCTGATGGGATTTTCTGCTCAACTCTAGAGGATACCCACAAAGATGACAGGATAAGGAGCAGCCTCATGATCTATTTCATTTTTAGCTCAAAATGCAAGCACCAATATTCTGTATATCAGTCTAAAAAAAATAGGATTTAAGAGAGGTGCTCCAGACACCCCTCACAGGTCATTTGTCCAAGTCAGATTATCACCCCTCCCAAGTTTTCCCTCTACATTTAATTGCTTAAACTGTCAGAAAAAAACTATGCATTCCACTCCTTCATAATGTGGCCCTTCCAGTGTTACACATTTATCACACAACTATCTGTTAGAAACTTGTGTTTTCTCTTTGATTAAAAACAGATACCCTGGAGAGTCCAAAATATTGACAAAATTGCAGGTTCTGTCTATAATTGGAGAAGAGTAGCAACTCTAAAGGGAGCCTCAGATCTCTGTTCGGAATCGCAGTGTTGTATTGGCCATTTTCTTCTTGTAATCTTCATCAAATGCCTCATTCTGAGCCACAGTGAAATGATTCTTCCAGTCTCCAGCAAGCCCTAGAAGAAGAAGGTAACAGTTAGGTTTCTTTTGCCCAGTAATAAAAAGAAATTTTATTGTACAGGTGACAATTTTAACTAGGCTGGAGAATGTACTTTTAATATATTCGCGAAGGCTTTCACGGCCGGGATCTAATGGTTGTTGTGGGTTTTTCAGGCTCTTTGGCCGTGTTCTGAAGGTTGTTCTTCCTAACATTTCGCCAGTC